CCCCGCCGCCCAGTTTGAGAATCCCTGGGGTAGCTAGGCCGTTTATTAAGCTAGGTGGCAGGACTGTTTTAGAATGGGGGTGGGGTGGGCAACTAGGGGGCAGGATGCAAATGCTGCATTGAGAGCACAGGATTGGGGGGGGCCCTGAGAGAGCCAGGGGCTTATCTGGATGTGCTCCATCCCTGCCCTTTGGGGCCAGCAGGGCATCTCAGTTCAAGGTCTGACACCAACTGAACCAGCATTACCCCTGTATCTTCCAGCAGGGGATGGGGCTGTCTACAGAAAGCTGATAATGTGCAACCGCACGCCCAGTCCTGCCAGGAGCTGCTGAGCATTCACCCACTGTCACTGGAGTCAAAGGTCACATATTTTGCAGTGCTCCAAACCACACTGGGTCAGGCCTTCATATGTAACAAGGTTTTCTGCTAGCAGCAGGCTCTCCCCCTTCCTCAAGACACAAAACAGATCTTGTAAATCATTCACAGAACAAACACAGGAGGTAACGGCCGCAACTCAGGGCTTGTCACAGACAGGTTTTGTTTGTAGTTGGCACAAGCCCAGCCTGTTGCAGTACAGTCACTAAGGCAACTAGCTTATCTCACAAGACCAAAAGTGAAACATGCAGGCTGCAACCTGACTTTGAACTTCCGACAATACAATCCTAAATAAAAATTCCATTCAATTAAAAAAAAAAGCCAAAAGTGCATTTTTATCTTGTTGCCATTCACAGCTCTCAAAGCACTTACTAATCCTTGGTAACATGCTTTTCTTACTGCCCATATTACTGATGAGTATGTTGAGGCTCAGAAGTGACTTGCTCAAGGTCAGATAGTAAGCCAGTGGCAGAGTCAGGAGTTAGCTCTTTATTCCTGGTCTGGCCTCCTGCTGGACTCTACTGCCCCTCTGGATAGTAGGCACCATATGCAATCCAGCAGGTAAGGCACCAGGTGGAATCAGGTGAATTTGACTCCTGGCACTGTCACAGGACTTGTGCAGCGTTAAGCAAGCCACTTAGGTTCACCACTTACACACACTGTTCTGTAGCTTCCACATCTGTAAAATGGGTGTAATAATAGTTTAGAAGCTCCAGCTAGAAGACAACTGACTCCATAGATCTTGGTATGCAATCTCACGGACTCCGAGGCATTGCTTTCTATCTCAAACATCAGACATATTTGGCATTCAAGAGCTAATGTAGCTGTGCTGCCTGGGCATCAGAGGTGGCCAAGGGTACCCCATTGCTGGGTTGTCTCCAAACAAGTTATCATTGCAGCTCCATCGACGTAGGGCAACCGTCCCAGCTGCTGCTCAGTGCAGGAAAGGTTCCAGAACCCAGCCCGTTCAGTGATCTCATTATCAGGTGTGTTCTGGAACTTCTGGGCTAAATACGCATTTCAAAGAAAATGTAGGAGGGGAAAGGAGAAAGCCTAGTAGCGCCTCGGAGAGGAGCTTCTTCTGCTGTCTCCAGACTGACGGACATGGATGACACCTCGGCTTCCGCAGGGTACTCCCACCCCCACATGGAGAGAAAAATGAGTGCAATGGCTTGCACAGTCTTCAACGAGCTTCGGCTGGAAGGGAAACTCTGCGACGTGGTCATCAAAGTCAATGGCTTAGAGTTCAACGCCCACAAGAACATCTTATGTAGCTGCAGCTCCTACTTTAGGTCAGCGCTTGAAACAAACCCAACCAGGCTATGGGCACAATGGCTGCTCTTGTCTGGAGTAATTGTTTTAAGATGGATTTGGGGGGGGCTGATGGAAGCCTTAGAATTGGCCTCTAATGTTTAATCGCCTAGATACTAGCATAGGCCACAGACTAATATATAACCAGAGCCATGGAAACTGGTGTCTAGTATTTAGCCAGAGTGGAACAGCATGGGAGGGGACATTCTGAGACTCCCTACACTGCCCTACCACGATGTCCAGCTTCCTCCCATGTAAGCCAGGGGAGATTTCAGTTTCCCTTTGCAACAAGGCAACCAGTCATTCTGCAGCTACTTATCCGCTAGGAACGATCCCCAAGGCCCCATTTCACATGGGCCAACAAGCAGATCAGATTTTGGTCGCTATCCCGTAGTCTGGTTTAAAACCCACGGTGAAAGGATCCAAAGCCCTGCTATTGCTCACCCTCTGAGTCAGCTCGCCACCTGGATTGGGAGCTGGCGAAGAAGGGGTCTAGACATAAAGCAGTAGATCCGTTGTTCAAATAGGCCAGGACTACTCAACACGCCGCCCTTGGGCTGCTTGCAGCCCTGCAGCCTGTATGTTTGCGGCCCCTGGTGTGGTTTGGGTTTACGCAGGGCTCAACACACGGCCCGCAGGTGGGATCCTTTGAACATGGCCTCCACTAGGAACATGCTCCACAACAACGAGGCGTCTCCCAGGCGGGGTGAGCATTGAAAGACGCAAGCGGATGGGCTGGCTGGAACAGACGGGTAGCAGGTGTTCGTGTTTCTAGCCCCCAAGGAGGAGGTGCCAGGAGCCCTGGGGATTGTGGGAAGTGCTTTGTATTCATGCCCAGAGGGAAAGAAGCTATTTGCATATACATGCAACAGCGCTTAAGTTGTGGCCCTTGACATGTGCTGTGAGTATCATTGTGGCCGCCTGAGCTTCCAAAGTTGAGTAGCCCTGATATAGGCAGTTTGGTTCAAGTGTTGCTTCATTTTCCAGGGCTTTGTTTACCAGTGGCTGGAACAACACAGAGAAGAGAGTGTATAATATTCCAGGTATTTCTCCTGACATGATGAAGCTCATTATTGAATATGCCTATACTAGGACAGTACCAGTCACGGCTGACAACGTGGAGCGGCTACTGGCTGCAGCAGACCAGTTCAACATAATGGGTATTGTCAGGGGGTGCTGCGAGTTCTTAAAATCTCAGCTGTGCTTGGAGAATTGCATTGGCATCTGCAAGTTCACGGAGTACTACCACTGCCCGGATCTGCGGCAGACGGCTTACATGTTCATCCTGCACAACTTCGAGGAAATGGTCAAGGTCTCTACAGAGTTTCTAGAGCTCTCGGTCAATGAGTTTAAAGACATCATTGAAAAGGACGAACTCAACGTGAAACAAGAAGATGCAGTGTTCGAGGCCATTCTCAAATGGATTTCCCACGACCCCCAGAACAGGAAACAGTACATTTCAGTCCTGCTGCCTAAGGTCAGTTTTCTGCTGGTTTTTAGTTACTCGTTCCTTGCTAAACAGTGGTGGGTACCACTGGCAACGATTAGGATTACAGCCCCTTAAACTGAAGTTAGTTAGTTAGTTAAGAAAGGTATAATAGACCGTGACTATGCAAAGATTTTCCACACTCAAGCCAGCCCCAATCCAGTAATCCGATCCCAGGGAGGGAGCCCAGGGAGTCCACAGAGTTTTGCACAAGTCTGAGGGCTGACCAAGACAGCGGCAAATCATTACCAAGGAGCCAGAGGCAATGGAGGGGGAAAGCTGGGCCGTGGTACCAAGAATGTTTCTTTAAACCAAGGAAATTAAATCCTCAAAAACTGACTTAATACAGCAGTAAGATTGGCCCGTGGTGCCAGTCCAAAATGCTGAGTGGTTAATTAAAAACCTCTAAGACCCAGAAAAAACAAAGATAAGATGGACAAACCCTGCCTTCCCATCTTAATTCTGCCCTCTCACCAGTGCCCAAACACTTCAGTAACACACACTAGCACTCTGTCTTCATGGATACATCACATGGGCACTGTGGGATAAAGTCCAACATTAGACTATGCTAAAGCAAAACTAGAATTTTAGTCAAGGGTTGCAAGCAGGAGATACTGACCCTACACAAACCACTCCAGAACTGCCAAATTTCAACACCCCTTCACCCTGGCCCCGAGGATTACTTCCCTTTACCACTGCCGAAGAATCTGAGACCACTGTTCTGCAGGACACCCCACCATGACAACCCGCATGGCAAAAGCATTCTTGTGCATGCCTGCTGAAAACTCGGCACTAAAATGAAGCATGCATGATCCCTCAAGATACACATCCCTCGTCATATTACAGTCGCAGCTGTACTCCAAGGAATCCACCACCGTTTAGCACGTCTACCCCCAACACAATGAACGCAGCAGAAGCTCATGTCGATCAATGCTGGAATTCACATCACATGAAAAACACCGGCATGCTCTTAGTTCTTCCACAGATCTAATTATAGATTAATAGATGGGAAGCTCAGAAGGGACTATCAGATCCTCTAATCTGACTTGCAATATTACACAGCATGGAAAATTCCATCTAGTTATTGCTGCATTGAGCCAAATACCTGTGTTTTTTGACTAAGGCATATCTTACTGAAGGGTAGGTATCTGGTCTTACTGAAGACTTCAGGAGATTAAAAAATCCACCCTTTCTGACCCATTCCAAGTGGCTATTGAACACCCTATGGCGCTAGAGAGCTAAGGTTGCATTGTGGGAACGGTGTCAACCTTAAATTAGTATGTCCTGATTTTCAGGAATGTACGTTAGCCAAGCTCCACATTCTGGAAGGGTACAGGCATCACGGGGCTAACTTTGCATTAAGGAAGTTTGGGGGCATTTAATTAGACATGCAATGCAATAGCAAGTGACACCAGTTCAGTTTTAGGTTTCGAATATAGAAGCATTGTGTAATAGATAAGTTGTCCCTTTCTATCGCTCTTTATGTGCGTCTGCTGAATCCACACCTGCAGCAATACATTCAGTTCTGCCCCATTATAGCAGGGCAGAGATGATCAGAAGGAAGTGTATTAAACTATAAGTAGAATGATTAGAGACCCAGAGGGACTGATTATTGAAGAAAGGTTAGAAGAATTAAGTCTGTATAACTTGGCTAAGCAATGGCTGAGGAGCTATAATTACTTACAAACCTGGGGTGAATATGCCAAGGAGGGAATTTGGCTGTGGGGTACAGTACGGAGCATAAAGATGTCTTTGGCTAAAGAACAGTCTCCCAAAGGGAGGTAGAGAAAGCCCTGTGGCCTGCAAGATTTAAAACTACGTAATTAAGTTGTCATGGGATAAGAGGGAAGATCCTTTCATGGACTGAGAACTGGTTAAAAGACAGGTAATAAAGGGTAGGAATAAATGGTAAATTTTCAGAATGGAGAAGGGTAACTATTGGTGTTCCCCAAGGGTCAGTCTTAGGACCAATCCTATTCAACTTATTCATAGATGATCTGGAGAAAGGGGTAAACAGTGAGGTGGCAAAGTTTGCAGACGATACTAAACTGCTCAAGGTAGTTAAGACCAAAGCAGACTGTGAAGAGCTTCAAAAAGATCTCACCAAACTAAGTGATTGGGCAACAAAATAGCAAATTAAATGTAATGTGGCTAAATGTAAAGTAATGCACTTTGGAAAAAATAACCCCAACTATACATATAATACGATGGGAGCTAATTTAGCTACAACTAATCAGGAAAGAGATCTTGGCGTCATCGTGGATAGTTCTCTGAAGATGTCCATGCAGCGTGCAGTGGCAGTCAAAAAAGCAAACAGGATGTTAGGAATCATTAAAAAAGGGATAGGGAATAAGACGGAGAATATCTTATTGCCCTTATATAATTTGATGGTACGCCCACATCTTGAATACTGTGTACAGATGTGGTTTCCTCATCTCAAAAAAGATATACTGGCATTAGAAAAGGTTCAGAGAAGGGCAACTAAAATGAGTAGGGGTTTGGAATGGGTCCCATATGAGGAGAGATTAAAGAGACTGGGACTTTTCAGCTTGGAAAAGAGGCGACTAAGGGGGAATATGATAGAGGTCTATAAAATCATGAGTGGTGTGGAGAAAGTGAATAAGGAAAAGTTATTTATTTGTTCCCATAATATAAGAACTAGGGGCCACCAAATGAAACTAATGGGCAGCATGTTTAAAACAAATAAAAGGAAGTTCTTCTTCACACAGCGCACAGTCAACCTGTGGAACTCCTTGCCTGAGGAGGTTGTGAAGGCTAGGACTATAACAGGGTTTAAAAGAGAACTAGCTAATCTCTATGAATTTAAGTCCATTAATGGGTAAGGAATGGTGTCCCTAGCTTCTGTTTGTCAGAGGGTGGAGATGGATGGCAGGAGAGAGATCGCTTGATCAGTACCGGTTCAGTTTACTTCCTCTGGGACACCTGGCATTGGCCACTCTTGGCAAAAAAGATACGGGGCTGGATGGACCTTTGGTCTGACCCAATATGGCCGTTCTTATGTTCATCTTGATCTCCACCTCCCTTTGC